AGGGATTTTCAAAGCTTTACCGCTGAAAATTTAAAAAGATCATGGCCGGAAGAACATTTCAACCCGGAGTTGCCGAAGGACAATCCACGACAAGGCCACCACTCTTCGACGGCACAAATTATGCTTATTGGAAAGAGAGGATGAGAATATTCATCCAATCAAATGATTATGATTCTTGGTTGGTGATCAAGCATGGAGAGACGGTTCCCACGAAGATTGTTGACGGGGTTCTTGTTCCAAAGTTAGAGACCGAATATACCTCAAATGACAAGAAGAAGATGCAACTAAATGCAAGGGCCATCAACTTTCTATATTGTGCCGTGAACCCGGATGACTATCGGAAAATCTCAAGGTGCAAGATGGCCAATGAGATGTGGAAGAAATTAGAGGTCACATATGAAGGAACAAGTCAAGTGAAGGACTCAAAGATCGACTTACTCACCCATGAGTATGAGCTTTTCATGATGATGGAAAATGAAACAATAGATGGCATGTTCGAGAGATTTTAACCTATCGTCTCAAATTTGGATACACTTGGGAAGCATTATGAGGATCATGTTCTCGTTCGAAAAATCCTTCGAAGTCTCACACCGGAATGGAAGTCTACGGTCAATCCTATCAAAGAAGGCCGAGATTACAATACATTGACATATGACGCACTTCGAGGTAAACTACTCACTTATGAAATGTCTAACTTTTCTAGTGCAGCAGAGATCAAAAGGGATCAAAATCTATCATTCAAAGGAGTTGCACTCAAAGCTTCATCGTCAAAATATGTCGAGACAAGCGGCTCTGGAGAAAGTGACATTCTCGAGTTATTTAATGACTTCTTGCAAAATGAGCTTGAGCAATTAAATGAGAGTACAAAGTCTACTTGCTATGGATGTGGAGAGCGTGGACATATCAAGGGTCATTGCCCTAAACGAAAATTCAAGAAGTCCAAACGCCGAAAGCAATCCAACTCTAGCTTCTCTTCCTCATCCGATGATGAAGTAGCCATTTGTCTTATGGCTCAAAGTGAATCCGAAGAGGTAAGTTCTTCTAACGATCCTTTTAGTTTTGAAGAACTACAAGAAGCATTTGGTGATTTATTTAAAGAATTTAAGAAAGTCTCATCTATTGCCAAAGATTTGGAATATAAAATCACCCTTTTGCAAAAGAAAAATAATATTTTGCAAAAAGAAATTGATTCCCTCAAAATTGAAAATAAGACTTTTGAGGAGACTAATTTGAAATTAAATGATTCACCTTGTTCTTCATGTAAGTCTTCTAGTCTTGAGATAGAAGCGCTTAAGAAAGAGGTAGACGATTTGAAATTAGCTATGAAGAAAGTTGAAAATGAATTTAGACTAAAATCTACCTCTA